TTTTGCTGGATACAAAATTCTTGGCTGATAATTGTTTTGTTTAAGGAGGTTGAAGAAAGGGCCCCAGTCCCTTTAGCTTGTAGGGTTTCTCCTGAGAAATCTGTTAATCTTGGGTTCAAGATCCCTGTGATGTTAGGCAGGTTACCCAGTGCTTCTGTCTCACAGCTCTTAAGATTCTTTCCTTTGTCTTAACTTTGGATAACCTGATGACAGTGTGTATAGGTGCAGGTTCCCAGGTCAGTGGAGTTGTATACCTAGGAGTATTATGGCTGCCTCTGCTGAATCATTCAAGTTGTCAGGGAAGTGGAGGAAAGCTGGCAGTCATAGGCCTCACCCAACTCCCGTCCAATCCAAAGGGCCAGCCTCTCTCCCACCATGCCCTGCCTAACAGCCCCATGTGTTTCCAGGCAGTGGGCAAGCAGGGCTTGAGAACTTGCCCCAGGCTACCTGCCTCCTAGCTGCAAAAGAAAAGGGCTTTGGTTCTTTCCCCACCTCTGGAGTCTGCACATGGGATTTGCGCCCTCCCCCAAGTTCTGGCCAGGAGGGTTCTTGCCAGGTTCAAATTGTTACAAAGTTCAGCTGGAGATTTTCTTCTCTCTGTGGCATTTTCCCCATGCCTCTGGCTGCCCTCCTGAAAGATCCCTATGATGCCAGGTAGGAATGGCCTGCTAAGGGACCCAGTGAGCTCTTAGAGCCTCTCCTTCTTCTTCCTCTACCCTTGTAATTCACTCGGCTCTCTAAGTTGACTCAGCTCCAGGTAAGATTGGAAACTTCTACAAACTAGACCTTCAGTTTCCCCAGCGCGGTGTGTGTTCCCAGTTCCCAAATACTTTGGGCACTCACAGTATTTGGGATGTCTCTCGGGTCTTGCAGGAGCAGTCTACTTCCTTCAGATGGTCTGTGGGTCCTCTTGGGATTCCTATTTGTTTTTGCAATTGTTTTGGAGCTAAAATTCACGATGCAAGCCTCTGCACTCTGCTCTGTCCGTCCAAGTCAGAGATGCAGTCCAGTCCTGCATTGCATTGCCATGGTGATCACCAGTATCTTCTCTATTTTAAGCCAGTCCTGGCAGTAAAGTGCCATCTGGGTCTAGTGCATGAGGGGTGTGCAGCACAGGAGGCAGGCAGGGCCAGGCAATGGTTGCAGTGCTGTCCTAAGAGTGGGACTGGAGCCAGGGGACACTGAAGTGGCGATAATGGTTAGGGGGGGCGCAGATTTTCGCAACTGATTATTCATCCAAGCTTTACCTTCCCTTTAAGACCTGCCCTTTCTCTCCATTTACTTTTTCTATGAATGAGACATCCAGTTTTCTAGTTATGTAGATTTAAAGCCATTGAGTCATTGACTTTCTAATCCTTCATATTGAGTCACCAAAGTGAGTTACTTCTCTTATGATAATGACCCTTATATGTCTTGCTTTGTTTGTTTTTAGACAGGAGTCTGTTGCCCAGGCTGGAGTGCAGTGGCGTGATCTTGGCTCACTGCAACCTTCGCCTCCTGGGTTCAAGCAATTCTCCTGCGTCCGCCTCCCAAGTAGCTGGGACTACAGGCATGGCTAATTTTTTTGTATTTTTAGTTCTTTGCTTTATACATGATGCTACTGTCCTCCAGTCTTCCTTAGTGGAAACTGCTGCCTGCTTATTGTCCCTTCCCTGGTCCTTGCTAGCTTGCAAAGCTTGTCTTTTATACATGCAGATTGCTTCACGCTCTCCAGTCCTGCTTCTTCCATCCTAGCATGGATCATTGTTACTTACCTCTTACCTAGAGTTTCACAGTAATTTTTTAACCATCTTCCTCTCTTTATTTTATATCTGCTGCTGACTGTAATCATTGTCATGGCACATCTCTGTTACTGTATTTTCTTAACCATTACAAAGCTTAGCAGTTAGGATTGCAGAATTTAAAAAATTACGAGGTTTCTGCCTTGCCTGTGGAATAAAGGTTAAACTCTTTAATTTGACATTTAGGTTTAGAAAGCTAAACTTACCTCCGGGCGTGGTGGCTCACGCCTGGAATCCCAGCACTTTGGGAGGCCAAGGCAGGTGGATCACGAGGTCAAGAGATCGAGACCATCCTGGTCAACCTGGTGAAACCCCATCTCTACTAAAAATACAAAAAATTAGCTGGGCATGGTGGTACGTGCCTGTAATCCCAGCTACTCAGGAGGCTGAGGCAGGAGAATTGCCTGAACCCAGGAGGCGGAGGTCGCGGTGAGCCGAGATTGCGCCGTTACACTCCAGCCTGGGTAACAAGAGCGAAACTCTGTCTCCAAAAAAAAAAAAAGACCGCTAAACTTACCTATCATTATTCCCTTACAGACCCAATACCTTAGCCAAACCAAGTTACTTACATTCTTGCTGTTCACCATCCTGTCTATCTCTTTATCTTGGATTATGCGTTCTATTTGTCTGAGGTCCTCTTTCTTCAGGGCTCATTTCTGCTGTCACCTCCTCTGCAAAGCCTTTCTTTCCTTCCAGCAGAGTCTTTTTTTTTTTTCCCGAGACAAAGTTTTGCTTTGTCACCCAGGATGGAGTGTGCTGCTGCGATTTCAGCTCACTGCAACCTCTGCCTCCTGGGTTCAAGCAATTCTCCTGCCTCAGCCTCCTGAGTAGCTGGGACTATAGGTGCACGCCACCATGCCCAGCTAATTTTTGTATTTTTAGTAGAGACGGGGTTTCACCATGTTGACCAGGATGGTCTCGATCTCTTGACCTCGTGATCCACCCGCCTTGGCCACGCAAAGTACTGGAATTATAGGCGCGAGCCACCGCGCCCGGCCCGAAACTCTTGACCTCAAGTGATCTGCCCACCTTGGCCTCCCAAAGTGCTGAGATTATAGGAGTGAGCCACCAGGCCTAGCCCCTCCAGCTGTCTTTCCAGTGAACTTCAGTAATACCATACCTAGACCTCTGTTGTGGTGCTTTACTATTCTCTATCTTGTGTGAAATATATTTATCACACTTGCTAGTTCTGTGAGAACTCCCAAGTGTAGACCTACTGTCAGAGGTCAGGGAAAAATTCAAAATGAAGAATCCTGGGCCCTATACCATTGTGATTCTGGTACAGTAGACTTGGCGTAGGTCCTAGGAATCTGAAACTTTTAAGTGTTCCCAGATTTTTCTTATTTGTGGTCAGATATTTGAATCATTGGCCCATCTGCCCCACTAATTAACTTATAAAAGTAGTTACTGATTTTATTATTTTTGTTTGTTTGTTTTTTGAGACAGAGTCCCACTGTCTTGGCCAGGCTGGGGTGCAGTGGCATGAACTCAGCTCACTGCAACCTTCATCTCCTGGGCTCAAGCAATTCTTTTGCCTCGGCCTCCCAAGTAGCTGGGATTATAGGCGTGTGCCACCATGCCCAGCTAATTTTTGTATTTTTAGTAGACACGGGGTTTTACCATGTTGGCCTGGCTGGTATTGAACTCCTGATCTCAGGTAATCCTCCTGCTTTGGCTTCCTAAAGTGCTGGGATTACAGTCATGTGCCACAGCGCCCAGCCACGGATTTTATTCTTTCTTGGATTGTTTTAACTTCTGGGAAGTGTCTTGTCTAAATTGCATTATAAACTTTGAAACCTTTGTCTCTCTTCTGTAGTACTGAGCATAATAGATACACAGTAAATGTTGAGTGTTGAATAAATGAAAAGATTGAAGTAAAATCCTTCCGTTTGTAGATCTGTAGTAAAAAGTATACTGATGAGAATGTTCTTAGGAGAGGACTAAACAGAAGTTTAGCTGGGCACGGTGGCTCACACCTGCAATTCCAGCACTTTGGGAGGCTGAGGCAGGCGGATCACCTGAGGTCGGGAGACAGAGACCAGCCTGACTAACATGGAGAAACCCTGTCTCTACTAAAAATACAAAATTAGCCAGTCATAGTGGCGCATGTCTGAAATTGCAGCTACTCAGGAGGCTGAGGCAGGAGAATTGCTTGAACCCAGGAGGTGGAGGTTGTGGTGAGCCGAGATCACACCATTGCCATCCAGCCTGAGCAACAAGAGTGAAACTTCATCTCAAAAAAAAAAAAAATTAGAAGTTTATACAGTAGCCTGTTATAGGCTGTGCTGAAGAAAAGAATAATAATATCACTTAAGAGAAACCAAGCAATGAATAGCAGAAGATTAGTATGATAATACATAGTCCATGGTGTCACATGTGTGGTATTTACTCAAGATAGAAGAGAAAGAAGCTAAAACAACAGTTCAGTAGGCAGTATTTCTAATGGTAAAAAGTCAGATCACATTTGTTCTATAGAAAAGTGGCCTTTTAAACCTCGCTGGCGGTAGGTATTGCTAACTAAGCTCAGCATCCTTCCTTGTTGAGCTTAGATGTTCCGTCAGCATCATTTCCACATAGCCTTTCAGCCAGGACACCAATCAATCACATTATTAGCATGTGATGGAAAATCCTGTATGTAATCCCTGATTTAGTAAATGCTGTTTAGGATGATAATTCCATAGTTTAAAAAAAATACATGGTAGAATTAATGTGATCCCTACAACCAAAATTCTCTAGGCACTTAGCAAGAAAAAGGTAGTTAAAAACCAGAATGTTGAAAAGGGCAGCTCTTAGATAGTAGACTGTTAGGATTCACTACTTGATTTCTGGTAGGAGCTTCTTTTATGAAGTTATGCTGTGTGATTCCTCATAACTGTCATGTCATTTACTCAGACTTTTTAAAAGTAAAGATAAAGAAACGAATTGTTTTCTCAAGAGTCTCTAGTCACTTAAAATTTAGAAGACACTCATATATTAAGTGTCTACTGATTCCAAGCTGTTTTGGAAAACACTGGATTAACGCTATCCTTATTGTTGAAATACTGTACTTATTTTTAGCTCTACTGGAATTCTCTTACTCTAATTATGTTAAGTACCTGCTTACATGCCACGAAAGTTTTAAACCTGTGCACTCAGCCACACTTCCTAATTCTCTTTTCCCCTGCCTAAAATGAACCTAATGTGTAATCAGGTTTTCATTTCTCTCCCTGTACTTTCCAGGTCAGATGATGATGATGCGGAGAGTAGGAGCTCCAGGGTGACCCAACTTTGCACTTACTTTCAGCAGAAATATAAGCACCTCTGCCGCCTGGAGCGGGCAGAAGCTCGTCAAAAGAAATGCCGGCATACGTTTAGGAAAGCTTTGCTGCAGGCAGCCAGTAAAGAACCAGAATGCACTGGTCAGTTAATACAAGAACTGCGGAGAGCTGCATGCAGCGGAACCAGGTGAGAGCTGTGCACAGCTACCTGTTCCTAAGGGGCTCGTCTCAGTTTGTTTTCTTGATTTTGTGAGAGGATAGTTGGAGCACAAGGGGAGATAGCCACTGAGTCCCAAATATTTAAGCATTGTATTTTGGTTTTCTTGCTTTGTTAAAGTGCTACAGGTGGCAAAATAATATTACCATGACTTAACAGTGAAAGTAAAGCATTACTAACATTTTGCTGAAATTTGATTAGAATTTATTCATTGAAGATTTGAGAAGGTTACCTGGCTTAAAAAAATACAAAGCTTAGAAATTTCATGTTATTTAAAAGTAACAGTTATAGTTTTTTAACTACATAAGCAGTATTTCATGTTTATTTACTTGTGTTATTTCAGTTTCTTTTCTGTGTTGGTTTTTTGTTTTTAGAGACAAGGTCTTGCTCTGTTGCCCAGGCTGGAGTGCAGTTGTGTTATCATAGCTCACTGCAGCCTCAAACTCCTGGGCTCAAATGATCCTCCCAGCTTAGCCTCCTGAGTAGCTGGGACCATAGGCATGTGAAACCTTACCCAGCTAATTAAAACAAAAATTTTTTTTTTGTAGAGATGAGGATGACAGAGGGAGACTTCCTCAAAAAATAAAATCAAATAAAATCTGAATAATGTTAGTCTTTTCTAAAAAATAACTTTGTCGTATTTATTGATGAGTAAGTGGAATAAGCCATTGAACCCAAATTAAGTATCTTGCAGCCCACAGTCCTACAGTGACTATGTTGTTTGTGTGGAAACATCATTGTTTATGGGGGATGCTATAGGTCATATCAAAGGGAATCCTGTAGTAGATTTTTTAAATATTAAAGACATGAAAAAGTTTTGGTAATTTCCTTTGTTTTCTTGGGCTTATTTGGATAATAAAAGATATCTAAATTACATCAAGCATTTTTGCCTTATTTTTTTTTCTTTTTTCTTTTGAGACCAAGTCTTGCACTGTCACCTGGGCTGGAGTGCAATGGTGTGATCTTGGCTCACTGCAACCTCCACCTCCCAGGTTCAAGCAATTCTTCTGCCTCAGTCTCCCAAGTAGGTGGGATTACAGGTGCCTGCCACCACACCTGGCTGGTTTTCTGTATTTTTAGTAGAGACAGGGTTTCACTATGTTTGCCAGGCTGGTCTCAAACTCCTGACCTTGTGATTCGTCCACCTCAGCCTCTCAAAATGCTGGGATTACAGGTGTGAGCCACCATGTCCAGCCATTTTTACCTTAATTTATCCATGGGATTATTGAAATTCTGACTTTGGATTTATTTTAAAAGGTAATTGGTAAGTTAGAACGTAAGGCAATTTTAAAAAATGAAACCAATAGTTATTTTGCAAGTTTAGAATAAAGAAAATGAGGGAATGTATTATACACTAGGCTTGTTAGATAGCTGAACAGTTTATTAGAGTGTTTAATGAAAATTATCCCTTCGGGCCAGGTGTGATGGTGCACGCCTGTAGTCTTAGCACTTTGGGAGGCTGAGGCAGGTGGATCACCTGAGGGCTGGAGTTTGAGAATAGCCTGGCCAACATGGTGAAAGCCCGTCTCTACTAAAAATACAAAAAATTAACCTGGCATGGTGGCAGGTACTTGTAATCCCAGCTATTCAGGAGGCTGAGACAGGACAATCACTTGAACCCGAGAGGCAGGGGTTGCAGTGAGCCGAGATCATGCCTTTGCACTCCAGCCTGGGCAACAGAGCAAAACTCCATCTCAAAAAAAAAAAAAAAAAAAGAAAAGAAAAAGAGAGAAAAAAGTTATTCCTTTAATATAGAGAGCCTTCTATTTAAATCTAGACCAAGAGAACTTGGGCTTAGCTGCCAGAATAGTAAAGGTTTATTTATTTGAAATTGTATATTATTTTTACGGGGCTAAATTTAATGTAAATGACTTTTTTAAAGAAATGATGGATAAACTAGTAGGAATAAACTGTTTGGTTCTATGATGATCCACTTCCCTACTCTTATAATCCTGACGAATCTTGCAGAAATCCTAGTTAAGGCAGGTTCTAAGGCAGCACCATGGACATATAAACAGTGTTTACAGTTTATATGAAACTAATAACTAAGGTTGTAGTGTTATTTATATTTTGTGTAAATTCATATGTAATTTAGATTCTGTGTGGCCTTACCTAATGAGTGTAAATAATTCCATTGAAACCCTGAGAAAGATATTAGAAACAAACAACTCAAAATATTTTTTGTTTGTGATATCTGACTTGAACTTAGTATGTTAAGTAGATTTTTTCCCTCATACTCAGACTTGTAAAGGCCTAATAGTTTGTAATGCTTTATAGAGTCATGTAAATAGGATAGGTTTTGTTACTTCTAAGAATTGTCTTTTTTTTTTTTTCAATAGAGATGGGGGTCTCCCTCTGTTGCCCTGGCTTGTCTCAGACTCCTGGGCTCAAGCGATCCTGTTTGATTAGGGGAGCCCTCCTCTGCCTCCCAAAGTGCTGGGATTACTGGTGTGAGCCACTGCACCTGACCCCCAGCTAAGAATTTAAATGTTATTTATTTGTGTTTTTGTATGTTTGTGTAAAGAAACTGGAAGGATCTGCAAACTAATAACATGAATACATTATAGATTGAGTGGGGGGCTGGCAAATTAGGGGGCAAGGGCGAGAAGTCGATTCTTCACTGCCTAGCGTTCTGTTCTTTCATTTTTTTATGGATCTATGTGAATGCATTGCTTATTCATAAGATTTTAAATAAGTTAAAATATTTAAATATTAAGTGTACAAATGGAGATAAGATTTAAATAATGAAACATGGATTGCACGTATAATTGAAACTTGAAAAAAACAGATCTAAAGTGAGTACATTTTGGAGGATAAAAGCTACACAGCCATTTCTGCATATCAGTATCCTCTTCCCCATGTATGAGATGATTTTTTTTTTTTTTTGCAGATTTATGGGTTTAGCAGCATGAGGCAGTCAATTCCTAATGATGGTGATAATTATAGTCATGACTAACAACCGCTGACTGTTTACTGTTTAACACTATATACTGTATATAAGTGGTTTAGATGTGCTTAATCTTTTTATGCTCCCAACAATCCTGCCAGCTCAAGGAACCTTATTGTCTCTGCTTTACGGGTGAGGAAATTGAGGCTTAAATCAGGCCAGGTAACATGCCCATGGTCACACAGCTAGTAAGAGGGAGAGCTGAGATTCAGAACCAGGTCTGTCTGATTCTGTTTACTGTAGTTCTTCATCACTTTACTGCTTCTTTGTGAAGAAAAAGGAAACAAGACATCACTTAAAAACAACAACAGATAGACATACTTGAAACATATTATGATAAAATTATTTGCTTTGAATGTCAGAAAATTAGGGAAATAACACAATTGGTAATTGTAATACCTTCTTTCTTTAACTCACATTTGCATTTTATTTAGTGACCAGAGATGTTACAGATTTATAATGAGGGTGTTACAGAGTTGTGACATCATGTTGAAAAATTACCCTGCATTTTAAAAAACTTAATTTTGTGGTTTTCTTTCCTTAGCATAAGCCGAACCAAGTTGAGGGAGGTGGAACCAGCAGCATGCAGTGGAACCGTGAAGGGTGAACAGTGCACTAACAAAGCCCTTCCATTCACCAGACATTGTTTCCAACGTATCCTTTCAACTCAATGGAATGTGCCCTGAAAAAGTACTACCTAATTTGGGACCATATATTTCATTTTTAAATCAAGTGAATGATTTTGAAACCATAACTGTTTAATGTTTAAAATAATTTTATATAACTTATAATTTTCATGATGTTCTCTGAATAATTTTTCCTGCTTTATTCAAACACCACAACAAAACAAGCAAAATTGATAGCAAATGGCAAGTTCCTCCAGTGTCTGTCACTTAATTATATTTCGTTAATAGAATTCTGGTCTCTCAGGAGATTCCTGGTAGCTTGTGAGACGGAGCTATAACATTCATAGATTGAAAAAATTCAATCACATTATTTAAAAACTGTTTTTAGTCTTCTAAGACAGTTACACAGTTTTACACTCATAGTACTTTTTCCTGTAAGAATACTTTACTCTTTTTAGTGAGTACAGTGCTGATTTCAAATGAATGAAAGGTAACAAACATCACTGATTAGGAAAGAAGATCTCTTTTTAAACAGTATACTTGAGGAAACCTATGTTAAGGAGCTTGAGGTTGGTGATGAAATCTTGTTGCTGTGACTTTTACTGAATATTTTAAAATTAGATAGCATTTAAAAATAACAGTTACTTATCTTTACCATCTATTTAATTTTTGCCCTCCTTTCTGTTCTTAGAACAGCTTTTTCACCACACTTTCTATATAATAAAGGCTGTATAAATAATTTTACCTAAAAACCATAAAGGAAAAACACAAAGATCCTTAATAGATATAAGTGTTAAGGAAACGTAGTAGCTAAAAGTATGAGTGATTAAAAACATTGATGATGTAAAACCCATGTTTGTTTGTTTGTTTGTTTAGAGACAGGGTCTCACTCTATCACCCAGGCTGGAGTACAGTGGCACAATCTCTGCTCACTGCAGCCTCGACGTGCCTGGGCCCTGGTGATCTTCCCATCACAGCTTCCTCTATACCTGGGACTACAGGCATGCACTACCATGCCTGACTGATTTTTGTAGTTTTTTGTAGAGATGGTGTTTTGCCATGTTGCCCAGGCTGATCTTGAACTCCTGAGGCTCAATCAGTCCATTCACTTTGGCCTCCCAGAGTGCTGGGAGTATAGGTGTGAGTCACTGTGCCTGGCCAATAGTAAAGTTTTGATTTAAAAGTAATTTTTCATAAGTTATAAGTTTGGTGCTAGAAATGTGAGGCAAAATAGTTAATTCTGGAAAGATTGGTTTTTAATAATTATATCTTAAAATTTTTAATCTTGGTAAGTACCATAGGCAGAAAATTTTCCTTTTAAGAGCTGTTAAAAAATAAAAATAAAAACCATTGGCCAGGCGTGGTGGCTTGCACCTATAATCTCAGTACTTTGGGAGGCTGAGGCAGGTAGATCACTTGAGGTTAGGAGTTCAAGACCAGCCTGGCCAACATGGTGAAACCCCATTTCTACTAAAATACAAAAAATTAGCCAGGTGTGGTGGCATACATCTGCAATCCCAGCTACGCAGGAGGCTGAAACAGGAGTGTTGCTTGCTTGAACCTGGGAAGCGGGGAGGTTGCAGTGAGCTGAGATAGTGCCATTGCACTCCATCCTGGGCAACACAGCGAGACTTCATCTCAAAACAAAAAACAGAAACCATTAAGTGGAACTTTAAATGGAGTTCACATGTTAAGAAGGAAATGACCCTGCTTTTCCAAATAACACAGTTTGGTTCAGAATGGTCATTAAGGAGACTGGTGCCAGGATCCTATTAGCAAAATAGAGTCCTTCAGAGTTGCCATCTGATAAATTCTACTATTATTTTCCCATATCAGTAGTTGAGCTAGTACTTTATAGCTTTTATTGATAATAAAGTTTGTACTTACTAAACATAAGTAGGGGAACAAGCAAATTTTATATAGAAATTGAAAATTAGAGTTTCAGTGTATGTTATTCCTAACTTACAAAAAACCCAGATATCCTCTTGAACCACTCTCAGCAGCTCTTCTCAAGTTGCACAGCCAAGTTTGCAGATGGACAGCAGTGCTCTGTGCCAGTTTTTGACATTACACATCAGACACCTCTGTGTGAAGAACATGCCAAAAAAATGGTAAGTTCTGCGACAGAGGCTCTCAAACTTTTGATAGTTATCCACTGTAGGAAATACTTTGTGACTTAGCACAAACTATATATGTATATAAATCACTGAAACAAGTTTTGAGACAGGATTTTTATTCCCTTAAGATACATTTTATTACCTTAAGATACATATCTTATACATAGCACATTTTCTAAATACTCTTTGTTCCTATGTCTCTAGGTTTTTGCTTTCTTATATAAATTCTACAAATGTCTTGAATAGTTGATGAAGTTTCGGTCAAAGGTCTAGTCTTTCTATAAATCTGTTGAACATAATTATTGCTTTCGTTAATGCTGGTATTATATATCCTAATTAATTCAGAAATAATTTAGAGGAGAGACAAATTTGAATTTGAGGAATATCTAAATTATATAATCATTTAAAGGAAGTTCTTTTTTATTGTTTTATCCATGAAGCAGTTGTTGCAAGATACTCTCCTAGGTACCTTATGTACTAGAAAGTGAGATACTTCCTGCCCTCTGTAAGCATGTTATAGTTATCCGGGATCCTTAAGGTAAGGGAATGGGTATTAGACCAGGACTTAATAGTTGGAACTTGTGAACCTTGCTTTGCCACCAGCTTGGTGTATAACTAGGGACTACAAATTCAGCCTTTTTGGGACCTCAGCCTCAATATGTGTGATTCACTGGTATATTAGTCTGTTTTCGCCCTGCTGATAAAGACATATCTGAGACTGGGCAATTTACAAAAGAAAAAGGGTTAATTGGACTCACAGTTCCACATGGCTTGTGAGGTCTCAGAATCATGGTGGAAGGCAAGGAAGAGCAAATCATATTTTACATGGATGGTGGCAGGCAGAAAGAGAGCTTGTGGAGGGCAAATCCCATTTGTAAAACCATCAGATCACATTGTGACCCATTCATTATTATGAGAACAACACGGGAAAGACCTGCTCCCATAATTCAGTCATCTCCCACTAGGTCCTTCCCACAACACATGGGAATTATGGGAGCTACAAGCTGAGATTTGGGTAGGGACACAGAGCCAAATCATATCATTCTGCCCTGGCACCTCTCAAATCTCATATATTCACATTTCAAAATGAATCTTGCCTTCCTAACAGTACCCCAAAGTCTCAGCTCATTTCAGCATTACCTCAAGGCAAGTCCCTTCTGCCTATAAGCCTGTAAAATCAAAAACAAGTTAGTTACTTCCTAGATATAATGGGGGTACAGCCATTGGGTAAATTCAGCCATTCCAAATGGAAGAAATTGGCCAAAACAAAGGGACTACAGGCCCCATGCAAGTCCAAAATTCAACAGACAGTCAAATCTTAAAGCTCCAAAATGATCTCCTTTAACTCCTTGTCTCACATCCAGTTCATGTTGATGCAAGATGTAGGTTCCCATAGTCTACTATTCTGGGGTCTAGAAGATGGTGGCCCTCTTCTCACACCTCCACTAGGTAGTGTCCCAGTAGGGACTCTGTGTGGGGGCTTCCACCCCACATTTTCCTTCTGCATTACCCTAGCAGAGGTTCCCCTTGAGGGCCCCTCCCCTGCAGCAAACTTCTGCCTGGTCATCCAGGCATTTCTCAACATCATCATCTTTGTTTTTTATTTTTGAGACAGAGTCTTGCTCTGTTACCCAGGCTGCAGTGCAGTGGTGTGGTCTTGGCTCACTGCAACCTCTGCTTCCAAGGTTCAAACAATTCTCATACCTTAGCCTCCCAAGTAGCTGGGATTACAGCCACCATGCCTGGCTAATTTGTTTGTAGTTTTAATAAAGATGGGATTTCATCATGTTGGCCAGAGTGATCTCGAACTCCTGACCTCAGGTGATCTGCCCACCTTGGCTTCCCAAAGTGTTGAGATTACAGGCATGAGCCACCATGCCTGGCCTGTTTTTATACATCTTCTGAAATCTAGGTTCAGGTTCCCAAACCTCAGTTCTGGACTTCTGTTCACTTACAATCTCAACGCTACGTGGAAGCTGCCAAGGACTGGGGCTTCTACCCTCTGAATCAACAACTGAGCTCTACCTTGGTCTCTTTTTGCCATGGCTGGAGCAGTTGGAACACAGGTTACCAAGTCCCTAGGCTGCACAGAGCAAGGGGGCGCTGAGTTTGGCCCATGAAATCATCTTTTCTTCCTAGGCCTCCGGGCCTGTGATGGGAGGGTCTGCCATGAAGACCTCTTCCATGCCCTGGAGATATTTTCCCCATTGTCTTAAGATTAACATTCAGTTCCTTGTTAATTATGCAAATTTCTGCAGCTGGTTTGAATTTTTCCTCAGAAAATGGGATTTTCTTTTCTATTGCATTGTCAGCTGCAAATTTTCCAAACTTTTATGCTCTATTTCCCTTTTAAAATGGAATGCTTTTAACAGCACCCAAGTCACATCTTGAATGCTTTGCTGCTTAGAAATTTCTTCCACCAGATACCTGTAAATGATCTCTCTCAAGTTCAAAGTTCCACAAATCTCTAGGGCAGGGGCAAAATGTCACCAGTCTCTTAGCTAAAACATAACAAGAGTCACCTTTGCTCCACTTTTCAACAAGTTCCTAATCTCTGTCTGAGACCATCTCAGCCTGGATTTCATTGTCCATATCATTATCAGCGTTTTTGTCAAAGCCATTCAACAAGTCTCTAGGGAGTTCCAAACTCTGCCACATTCTGAGCCCTCCAAACTGTCCCAATCTTTGCCTGTTGCCCAGTTCCAAAGTCACTTCCACATTTTTGGGTATCTTTTCAGCAGCACCACACTCTGCTGGTACCAATTTACTGTATTAGTCTGTTTTCACGCTGCTGAATGAGACATACCTAAGACTGAGCAATTCACACACAAAAAAGAGGTTTAATTGGACTCACAGTTCCATATGGCTGGGGAGGCCTCACAATCACAGAAGAAGGCAAGGAGGAGCAAGTCACATCTTACGGGGATGGCCCCAGGCAAACAGATAGTTTGGGCAAGGCAGCTCCTGTTTTTAAAGCCATCAGATCTTGTGAGACCCATTCATTATTATGAGAATAACATGGAAAAGACCCACCCCCATAATTCTGTTATCTCCCACTGGGTTCTTACTGCAACACATGGGAAGTAGGGGAGCTACAAGATGAGATTTGGGTGGGGACACAGCCAAACCAGATCAACTGGCTTCTTCACCAAGAACTTGTTTTATTTTTTAGGTTTCTTTTACAGAGCATATGTTTTGAAAAATTTGCATACTAAACCATATATTACAAATGTTGAATAATTATTTTTCCACTTTAATATAAAAACATTTAAAATATAGCCTTTTTTTGGGGGCGGGGGAGGGGGATCGAGTCTCACTCTGTTGCTCAGGTTGGAGTGCAGTGGCTCCATCTTGGCTCACTGCAAGCTCTGCCTCCTGGGTTCAAGCGATTCTTGTGCCTCAGCCTCCGGAGTAGTATATGCCACTACACCTGGCTAATTTTTATTTTTTTAGTAGAGATATGTTGGCCAGACTGGTCTCGAACTCCTAACCTCAGGTGATCCACCCGCCTCAGCTTCCCAAAGTACTGGGATTATAGGCGTGAGCCACTGTGCCCGGCAAATATAAGCTCTATAAGCTCTTTTTTTTTTAAAGCTTATTCAGGCTTTGTCATAGCTAAGGAATAATTTTTATATGCTTTTTCAACCACTTTTGTGGACCTTCATTGATAATTTCACAGACCCTCGGTATGGGCCCTGTAGCTTTTGAATCACGAAAGTAAATGATCCCAGCTGCATATTTTTATTTTAAAGTTCCAGCATACTTCAAAGACCAGGAAGATATTGTTAAGTAGAAAAACTGGACTTCAGTGTCTGCTTTAGGAACTTCATATGAATGAATTTTTGGTTCCTATAACAATTATTGTGTGAATGCTTTTAGAGTAATTAAAAGCAGCTTTATTCTTTTCAGCTGGTTAAACATTCCTACTTAGGTGAATTAATGAGGCAAACCTAAGACAGAATTAGTATAATGTAAATTAGTCATAAAATAACATACATTTTATATAACTATCATAATTATACTAATTATTTTTTTAAGTATTTACAATACAAATTTTTGAAAGTGGTTTTCTCTGAAGATAGTTAAAGAATCTGACGCTAGTTTGAGCTATTTTGGTTTTAGGTTAAAAATTACATAAGAGACTATAAGAAGAATTGTACCCCATCAGTGCTCCTTTGAGAGACTGACACTGGGAGATGAAAACTCTGTTCAAATCTCTTGGCTCTGCTTTCTTTTTTTGTTGAGACAGAGTCTAACTCTGTTGCCCAGGTTGGAGTGCAGTGGTGCAGTCTCGGCTTCTGCCACCTCTGTCTCCCAGGTTCAAGCAGCTTTCCCATAGTAGCCTCCTAAGTAGCTGGGACTACAGGCATGCACCACCACGCCCAGCTAATTTTTGTATTTTTTGGTAGAGACGGGGTTTCACCATGTTGGCCAGGTTGGTTTTGAACTCCTGACCTCAAGTGATTCTGCCCACCGTGGCCTCCCAAAGTGCTGGGAGCCACTTTGCCCAGCATCTATTTTCATATATTCTGAATCCAAACACATTTGATCAATTTCACTGCTACCATTCTAGTCGAAGCTACCATTATCTTTGCCTGGATTATAATAATAGTCTAATTGATCTCCCTTCTTGCCATATCCCCTGCAGATACATTTGTTGTTGTTGTTGTTGTTGAGTTAGAGTCTCACTCTGTCACCCAGGCTGGAGTGCAATGGCATGATCTTGGCTCACTGCAACTTCCAACTCCCGGGTTCAAGCAATTCTTCTATCTCAGCCTCCTGAGTAACTGGGAGGCACTTGCCACCATACCTGGCTACACAGGAGGTATATTGTTTACATAGCAGCCAAAGTAGGCTGGGTATGTGTGTGTTCTACTTTCTTTGAATTGAATTCACTTTTGAGTTATACTTTTAGGAGTTTTACAGATGCATGCAGTTGTATAACCACCACCTAAATCAAGATACAGTACAGTTCCCTCAGTTCTCCAGAGTCTCTTATACTATCCCTTTGTGGTTATCCCTTTACTCCATCTCCACTGATCTATTTTCTGCCCCTATAATTTTGCATTTTCCAGAATGTCATATAAATGGTATTCTGTAACAAGTAGCCTTTAGAACAAGCCCTTTAGAGTATATATCTGTTCATATTAGCTCCATAATCAAAACCTGCTAATGGCTTCCCATCACATCCTCCTGGCACTGCCTCCCAAAGTGTTGGGATTATAGACATGAGCCACCACATCTGGCCTTTTCCCAAGTGTCTGCATGGCTTGCTCCTTCCTTTCATTCAGCTTTCTTATCACGTGTCACCTCATCAAATAAGTCTTCCGCCTGCCTGTTACCCTGTACGTTTTTATCTTCATAATCTACCTAATTTTTCTTCCTGACATTTTTCTGCCTAACATTCAGTTATTCATTAGTTTGTTTATTTTCTGTATTCTCCTTCTAGAATGTCAACTTCAAAAAGGCAGGAGCATTTTTTTGTTCACTACTGTATCCCTAGTGCTTAGAACAGAGATGCTCAGTAAGTAACTGTTGAATAAATTAATGGTTAGGCACATGGATGGAAGGGGTTAAGATTCAGAAATAGGATGTGACAGCCATTGGTGAGAGACTCCAGCTGCAAGAAGTCCAGGCTATCAGGCAGAACATAGTATTCCAACAAATGTAAGATCCTGCGACAGATGGTGAATGCATTGCCTTGACATGGAGGTAGAATGAGACAAAAGTTGGGAGTGAATAGTATTTCACTGTGCACTGAAGCTAGGTAAAAGAACAGCTGGCATTAGGAAAGCCTCAGGCAGTGGGGGCTCTAGCTCTCAGGAGGCGAGTGAGGCAGGTATCGATCACGGGCTGTTCTGGGGCTGTTCTGTGTAAAGTGTCTGGCACAGTACCAAGAGTCCCGCAGGGCCCCTGCATACAAGCGTAGGGGAATCAGGGAGGAACCTAAAACCTGACCCAGGTGATTACTGAGAGTCTTACAAGTAGGACTTGTTTCCTCTTGGGTGAGAGCTCCCTAACTTCCTCCTGAGATCAGCACTGGTGCTGGAGGCAAGCCTGGAATGGATGCTGAGCACAATGTTTGGGTACTGGTCATTGCACATTCACCATTTGTTGAGTTAAATAGTGGACATAATACAAGTAGACCTCAAGTGTTGAGACAAAAAAACTATGAAGTCTGAGAAGTAGCCTCTTTTTAATTTAATTTTATTTTTTTGAAAAGGAGTTTCGCTGTTGTCGCCCAGGCTGGAATGCAATGGCATAATCTCAGCTCACTGCAACCACTGTCTCCCGGGTTCAAGCGACTCCCCTGCCTCAGCCTCCTGAGTAGCAAAGATAACATGCACATGCCACCACGCCTGGCTAATTTTTGTATTTTTAGTAGAGACAGAGTTTCGCCATGTTGGCCAGTCTGGTCTTGAACTCCTGACCTCAGGTGATCTGCCTGCCTCAGCCTCCCAAAGTACTGGGATTACAGGTGTGAGCCACTGTGCCTAGCCAGAGCTAGCCTTTTTTTTTGGGTTTGTTTGTTTTAAATGTGTGTATTTGTGACTTAATCTGAATTATGTTTATATTCAAGTATTTGAGTAGGATCGAACCTGTTTTAGATTTCCTGAATTTATGCTTTAATTTTATTCTTCTTGTTTTCAGTTTTTTGATGCTAGAGTTAAGGAATTAATTAAAGGTGACATCAATTGCAAACCCCACTGTTTTGTGTGCTACTAAGAAAAAATGTTGCCACTTTATTATCACTTAGAATTTTTGTTTTATACTTATTAAAGAGCTCTTAAAAGACTTACTTAGACTAGATTTTTATCTTATATACTCTTCTTGGTTTTGGCTGTACTGCTTGACATGTGAAAGGCAGTATTTTCTACGTACTTCAGTAGAACAACTTCATCTACTTTGTGGTTACTTTCCTTTCTCACTTGGTTGTTGCCTTACAGAAAAAAAAAGAAAAAAGAATTGTGGTCAGTTCTTCAGTAATGAATGTATGCTTCACTAATATTATATTTATTTTATGCCCTACTGCTCTTTGTACCTTTCTGCATTGACAAAAAATTTTCCTCTACATGTACCAACAATGTATATACCTTAATTCAGATGATGCCAGTACAAAGAACTGGAACTGAGTGTGTGTGTGTGTGTGTGTGAATGTGTGTGTCAGTGTCAGCAATTATAAGATGCCAAGAATTTAAAATGCTTCCCAACTGCAGAGATATTAAAATATAGATCTTAGAATTCATGAAGTTTGGTGTCTTCATTAATGTTAAACATAGTTTTTGGCATCCAGTATGTTTTAGGCATCATATAGAATATTAAGTATTTTCTTAGGTAACTGTCAGGTTTCTCTGAGATAATCTCAGTTTAAAAACCCATTTATTCATTCCAAAGGATAATTTCTTGAGAGGAGATAACTCCCGTAAAGTTCAGCACCAGCAGCAGAGGAAACCCAGGAAAAAAACCAAGCCTCCTGCACTAACCAAAAAACACAAGAAAAAGAGAAGGCGTGGACCTCGTCGACCCCAAAAACCCATTCCCCCTGCAGTCCCCCAGGGGAACCTCAGCATGCCCGCCAGCGTCTCACTGCCAGTGGAGGCCTCTCAGATCCGGTCAGTGGTGGTAACGGGACTTAATTTTTCTTAGGTATTTTCAGATTCTTCTCTGAACATCTAGTTTCAAGTGGTTATTGTAAAGTTGTCCCTAGGCTACAGAAGCCATTTAGTATATCAGCCTAGATTTTTAAAGTAGTTTTTGGTACAAATTTTACCTGTATCTGACTGTATACAGGTAAAATTTTTTTTTTTTTGAGACGGAGTTTCCCTCTTGTTACCCAGGCTGGAGTGCAATGGCGCGATCTCGGCTCACTGCAACCTCCACCTCCTGGGTTCAGGCAATTCTCCTGCCTCAGCCTCCTGAGTAGCTGGGATTACAGGCACGCGCCACCGTGCCCAGCTAATTTTTCGCATTTTTAGTAGAGACGGGGTTTCACCATGTTGACCAGCATGGTCTCGATCTCTTGACTTCGTGATCCACCCGCCTCGGCCTCCCAACGTGCTGGGATGACAGGCTTGAGCCACCGCGCCTGGCCTCTGACTGTATTTTATCTAAAATTAAGCTTTTGCTCATAATAAAGTAAGTAGATGCCAAAATTGAGTTTAATTGTATACTCTCAGAAAACATTTTTTTTTCTTTTTCATTTTTGGACACCAAGTCTTGCTCTGTCATCCAGGCAAAGTGTAGTGGTGCGATCTCAGCTCACCGCATCCTCTGCCTCCAGGGTTCAAGCAATTCTCCTTCCTCAGCCACCCTAGTCCAGGGTCACTGGCATGCACCATCATGTCAAGCTAATTTTTGCATTTTTGGTAGAGACAGGGTTTCATCATGGCCAGTCTAGTCTGGAACTCTTGATCCGAAGTGATCTACCCTCCTCGGCTTCCTAAAGTGCTGGGATTACAGGCATGAGCCACCGCCCCTGACCTCTAACTTTTAAGAGTGTTAGCAGAGGGCCAGGCGCGGTGGCTCAAGCCTGTAATCCCAGCACTTTGGGAGGCCGAGGCGGGTGGATCACGAGGTCGAGATATTGAGACCATCCTGGTCAACATGGTGAAACCCCGTCTCTACTAAAAATACAAAAAATTACCTGGACATGGTGGCGCATGACTGTAATCCCAGCTACTCAGGAGGCTGAGGCAGGAGAATTGCCTAAACCCAGGCGGCAGAGGTTGCGGTGAGCCGAGATCGTACCATTGTACTCCAGCCTGGGTAATAAGAGGGAAACTCCTTTTAAAAAAAAAAAAAAAAAAAAAGAATGTTAGCAGAAATTCCATGTATGTTCCAGCAGAAGTATTCCATCAGAAATATGAGGCATTATTATTTTGGCAGCATTAAACATTATTTTGACCAGAAGAATGAAGCTTTTGTTTAAGCTAAGCATTTCAGTTTTACCTGTTGTTAATTTCATTTTTAAAATTATTATTTGGACCAGATTTGAAATTCTAAAAAGCATCAATACACATTTGATACACCAAATTATGATTCATTGTACTAATTTGAAGTAAAAATATTACCTAGTAGTTGTTGTTGCCTCTTAATACATGGGTCAAGGTTGCAGAAATATGTGACTGCATATGGTGAGGCCTGTATTTTTGCAGTGATTCTACTTTCAGATTTCCTTCTTTTAAAGTAGGGGAGGAGATACTGTAAGTTAGGATTTCTCATGTTTCTGTTGAATATAAAAAAACCTAGGGTCAGGTCAAGGGCTCACAACTGTAATCCCAGCACTTTGGTAGGCTGAACAGGTGAATCACAAGGTCGGGAGTTTGAGACCAGCCTGGTCAAGATGGTGAAACTCCATCTCTACTAAAAATACAAAAATTAGCCAGGTGTGGTGGCTGGTGCCTGTAATACCAGCTACTCGAGAGGCTGAGGCAGGAGAATCACTTGAACCCAGGAGGCAGAGGTTGCAGTGAGCCAAGATTCCGCCTCTGTACTCTAGCCTGGGCAACAGAGCAAGACTCCATGTCAAACAAACCAGAAGACATTAGGATTGGCTTTAGCTCAAGTAATTACTTTCCATCTGTCTAATCCCTATGCTGGAGTTCAAACCTGCCGGGGCTTTCTGACCTTTAGAAAAAAAAACAAAAAACAAAATTTAAAGGACATTAGCTAATTTTGTTTTGTTTGAGACAGTGTCTTGCTCTATTGCCAGGGCTGGAGTACAGTGGCATGATGTCAGCTCACTGCAACCTCTGCCTCCTAGATTCAAGCAATTCTCATGCCTCAGCTCCTGAGTAGCTGGGATTACAGGTGTGTACCGGCATGCCCAGCCAATTTTTATATTTTTAGTACAGACAAGGTTTTGCCATGTTGACAGACTGATCTTGAACTCCTGGCCTCAAGTGATCCACTTACCTTGACCTCCCAACATGCTGGGATTACAGGTGTGAACCACTGTGCCCAGCCTGACATTAGCTTCTTTTCATGTTGAATGAACTTGGCTTGGTGGTATTGGTATGAAGATAAAGTGGAAGTTACAGAACCGACTGTGTCCTCTTTCCCAGGAGCCCATCCACACCAGAGCTGAGTGCTGATGAGTTGCCGGATGACATTGCCAATGAGATCACTGACATTCCACATGACTTGGAATTGAACCAGGAGGACTTTTCAGACGTCCTGCCACGGCTACCTGATGACTTACAAGATTTTGATTTTTTTGAAGGTATAGTCAATATTTTGACTCAAGGAAACTGGTTTTAAAAATGAGTTTATAAGAAAGGAAATACTGTTTTGAGATTTGTTTGTCATATTTCTCCTTACATACAATGTCTTTTGCTGTAAATAGGAAATATAATACCATTGCAGCTATTTTACCCCTTTCAGAAGATAAGGAATGTACAGTTTGTTTAGCCATCTCATAATTTGGTGACTAGGTTTATAACTTTGTTTCTTTCTTTATATATTTTTTTGGAGATGGAGTCTCACTCTGTTGCTTGGCTCACTACAACTTATGCCTCCTGGGTTCAAGCAATTCTTCTGCCTCAGCCTCCCAAGTAGCTGGAATTACAGGCATGTGCCACCATGCCCTTCTAATTTTTGTACTTTTAATAGAGGTGGGGTTTCACTATGTCAGTAAGGCTGGTCTCTAACTCCTGGCCTCAAGTGATCCACCCACCTTGGCCTCCCAAAGTGCTAGGATTACAGGCGTGAGCCACCGTGCCTGGCCCAACTTTGTTTCTTTAAAGTGAATACTTTTACTTTATTTTTGGACAAGGATATCTTGAACAGGAGTTTTGTATTTTGGGGGGAATGGAGTCTCGCTCTGTTGCCCAGGCTGGAGTGCAATGGTGCCATCTCGGCTAACTGTAACCTCTGCCTCCTTGGTTCAAGCAATTCTCCTTCCTCAGCCTTCTGAGTAGCTGGGATTGCAGGCGTCTGCTACCATGCCTGACTAAGTTTTGTATTTTTAGTAGAGACAGGGTTTCACTATGTTGGTCAGGCTGGTCTTGAACTCTTGACCTCAGATGATCCACCTGCCTCAGCCTCCCAAAGTGCTGGGACTACAGGTGTGAGCCACTGCACCTGGCAGAACATGAGTTTTGAAGTCTTTTAGAACTTGCCCTAGTTTTACTTCAATGGAAGTGCACTTTTCCAAAACGAAGTTTGTTTAATCCTGCCAATTCCCCCATACTTTCCGGGGAAATCTTTTATACTCTTAGCATTCTTTCGTCATTAAAAATTGAATATTTTCATGGCGATTAATCAAGGTCCTAACCGTAGATTTTTAAAAATATTAGAAATGAAATCAAAGTAGATCCATTGGTTTCCATTTTATGAAAATTAGTAAGAAATGGGAAGAGAATGAGGGAGAAGGATTAGAGAGTAAAGCAAAAGCATTTTGAAAGATAAACCCATGGAATGAACTGAGTGCTTAGTGTGCTAAAATAGATATATGAACATCTGTGTTTTAAACTTCCACCGCTGCCCTCTAGCTGGGAGAGTCAGGAGTACAACAGGCAAGGTGGACCTGTTCTACACAGCCTTTTATCTCAAATCCAAGTTGATATTATATTTCTATTTTAATGATGGTAATATAATTTTAGGTAAAAACAGGTATAATAATTACCATGAGTTTTAAATTTGTAATCCGTAGTTTCTAAGAATTTAGTATTTTGATAAGATGGTTTTTGAGATGTTTTTGGTAAATAAACTGAAGATGGTGATTCAGGTTCCAGGACAGCTGACATTTCAGACCTGTCCTGCAGATTATTATTTCACTTTTTCCTTCCAGTCCAAATCTGGAAATTTTTCTTTTCAAGAGGGACTCTTTTTTAATAGAAAATTGTTTAAAATAATTCAAATGTGTGATTTTTGTGATACGGAACTGATAAAAGCTCTACTGATTCTTGATGGCTTTTGTTGACTCAGGGAAGAATGGAGACCTCCTTCCAACTACCGAAGAGGCTGAGGAGCTTGAGCGGGCCTTGCAGGCTGTAACTTCTCTCGAGTGCCTGAGTACCATTGGGGTCCTTGCCCAGTCAGATGGTGTGCCAGTCCAGGAGTTGTCAGATAGAGGAATAGGGGTGTTCTCCACAGGTACTGGAGCTTCAGGAATACAATCCTTGAGCCGAGAAGTGAACACAGACCTAGGGGAGCTATTGAATGGGCGTATAGTACATGATAATTTTTCTAGTCTAGAGCTGGATGAGAACCTGCTCCGTTCTGCCACCTTGTCAAACCCACCTACACCCCTGGCAGGGCAGATCCAGGGGCAGTTCTCTGCCCCAGCCAACGTTGGCCTTACTTCTGCCACTCTGATCAGCCAGAGTGCACTTGGGGAGAGAGCCTTCCCAGGACAGTTTCATGGACTTCATGACGGCAGCCATGCCTCCCAGAGGCCACATCCTGCCCAGCTGCTGAGCAAGGCAGATGACCTAATCACCTCACGACAGCAATACAGCAGTGATCACTCACACTCCTCGCCCCATGGAAGCCATTATGATAGTGAGCATGTGCCGTCTCCCTACAGTGACCATATCACCTCTCCCCACACAACATCGTACTCTGGTGATAATATGGCAGCTACCTTTTCAGCAGAGATGCCCATCATGGCGCAGCACTTGCTCCCAACCCAACTTGAGGTGCCACTTGGAGGAGTGGTAAACCCCAGAACTCACTGGGGCAATCTCCCCGTCAACCTCGGAGATCCCTCTCCATTTAGCAACCTTCTCGGCGCAGATGGACATCTTCTTTCCACTTCCCTATCCACGCCACCCACCACTTCGAACTCAGAGACCACACAGCCTGCCTTCGCCACCGTGACCCCCAGCAGTTCCAGTGTGCTTCCGGGGTTACCGCAGACCAGCTTCAGTGGCATGGGGCCTTCTGCTGAACTAATGGCCTCCACCTCTCCCAAGCAGCAACTCCCTCAGTTCAGCGCAGCCTTTGGCCACCAGCTGAGTTCTCACAGTGGCATTCCTAAGGACCTGCAGCCCAGCCACAGCTCTATAGCCCCTCCTACAGGCTTCACAGTAACAGGTGCCACAGCTACAAGTACCAATAATGCATCTTCTCCCTTTCCCTCCCCTAACTGAAGGTGTCTGTGTGTTTGCAGGCAGGTGGGGAACCCAGTGTTTTCTATCTCTGTTTCCTCTTTAGCATCCCTCTCCCCTTTTCCTAAAGAAGATTTAAAAAATAACAGATGGGGATTAGAGGGGCACCCCCCTTCCCAGTTCAATAAGTGGCCCTGCAGTGGACCTCGCTACAGTGTTCACATGTGCTCCTTAGCACTGGTGCTCATTCCCTCCTGGCAGGCCCACTCCGCCCCAGTGGTTTCCTTAGTGGTTCAGCACAGTGACTGGATAGGATTGATTTTTAGCAGCAAGTCCTAGAAGTGGAAGATACCTCAGAATACCAGTGCCCTTTACTATTTCCTAGTATTCAGATCAATGCTTTCCATTCTATTGCCAGGTTTTTACATAGGTGGTTCTAGATAGAATGATCATATTAATTCAGTTCCTGTATAAGAGACAGCAAATGGTGTGTGGCAGGTCAAGACTCTGACTTAGCACCAACTGCTAAACATCACAGTGAGGCCAGGATTTCATTCCTAATTGTGATCATGTTTAACTAAAAGAAAAAAATGTGTCTTTTGACTGCCTGTGAGTATGTGTGTGCCCACGCGTGTGTTTTTGTGCAGTGCAGGAAGCAGCAGTCCCATTAGTTTGTTTTTTGTTTTGTTTTGTTTTTCCCCTCTAATGAGTATAAGGCTCTTACTTTTCTCCTCTCCTATATCTCACAATCCTAATAAGGTTGGTCCTTCTTTTCCTCAAGTTTCTGAATAGGGAGGATGGTGGGCTGGTTGTGTGAATAGCACAACCTTTTTCTGCTTAAAACCCAAGAAGAAACAGAACATAGAAAGCTTGGATTCCTGTTGGTGAGGTAGGGATGTTCTGGAAAGCTTGCCTGGGGCAACTGCAGGCTGCAGGGGTTCTGGGGCCTGATGGTCCCTTTGCCTTTTTGGGCATTTGTTTGTTTGTAAATCCCTCTCTCGTGGAATACATTTGCAAGATGTAATTAAAGAAAATATTTTGATGTGAAAAAGCAGGATAGGTCGGAAAGGTTTGAAAAGATGGGATCTGTGAACTCCTCGATCCATCTTTTGCTTTTGAATTTTTCATGTTTACAGTAGTGATTCTTTGGTAAGGTTTGTAAAATGTGGAAGACACTTGTAGAATCAGTGTACCAGTTGTGAAGTGATGTGTAATATCTGAAGGATACACATTTTAAAGTTTCTTTCAAAGCAGAATATGGAAATTAGACATAAATTTTATCTATCCTTTGGTACTTTTAAAATAATTTAAGTACTTGGGTTTAAGTAAATTTGAAAATAGTTTTGGGAGATGTTTTTAAAATGCCACAATTTTAGGGTTAAAAATCATATTGGGTAGTTTAGGAAGTTCGTGACTATGAAATGAATTTGTGAGGTTTTTTGCCTGCCTTTTTTTCCCCCCCAGAGAAGGGTGGAACTAGGTTCGAAAGGCATCTCTACTATGCTTTTGCTGAGTAGTTTCACTGTCCCTTGAGATACCATTGGCTATTTATACCTGAATCTAGTCTAATTTTACATATATATATATACACACACATATATATATATTTTAAAAGTTAAGTAGAGAGAACATATCTATTGATGTGGTTCAATAATTCATTTGTCAGGGAATATTTGATCTTAATTCCTTTCTGATAGGTAATGATTGGATGTATTTTCCTACTTCCTATACATAATCTCTCTATGCCATGCTAGTTCTAACCAGTCCCTTCTTTTGAAATCTTTTCTTTCTCTGCTTTTGAAAGGAATGATGGTGATCAGCAGGCATTATGCAGATACCACGTGCCTGAGGTTATGGAGGGGAAATGTCACATGACTGTATGAAATCATTATATGCCCTATTTTGTATTTATTGATGTTTCTTTTTGTGGGCCAAAAATATGTTTGTAATATAGTTAGGTTTTTTTTACATCATGGTAATTGATTGGAAGATTTATTTTTAATAGCTTTGCCTTTTTTGCAGAGTGCAAAATTTCTGAATTATAACTTATGTCATAAAGCAAAATTATATTTGGTATCACCATAAATTTCTATTCTGAATGGTGAGAACAGATAATTTGAATATTTCTCACCTGTGAATCTATATTAGTAAGCTTTTTTTATTTTAATGTACTGTAATGAAGTGGTCATGAGTAGTTACCTCTGCTCAAAAATGTCATTTAGTTTGTTAAACTATCTTCACAAACCATCATAAGCATCACTAGGTAACTGTCCATCCCAAGCAATTTGGTTTAGTCTCCATTGTGTATTAATTAAAGGTTGTCGCAGAGCAACACGTTGACTTCCTCATCAGCCCTTTGACAGTGAAGGGAAAGTCGTGGGTAGTCGATTTGAACTTTTTCTGACTGTTTCTCCCTCTGTTAGCTGCTTAAAAGTTCTTCAGTTATGATACAAAGCTGAGTTTGCAGTAAGTTGCACATTTTATTGTTTGCAATTTTCTGTTTTATGTGCATTTGAAAGCCCTTCTCTGCTTACTAGTAAGGAGGCGTGAAATTATCAGGAATGTTGCTAGTTACAGCTTCACACCAAAAACTTTGAGTAATTGCGTTTTCGTTTGGTTGCCCATGATGAAAGCTGAGGAAAGGGCACTTTTAGAAATACCAGTGTAGGGTTGAGGAATTACCAACAACAAATTTTTCCTCTTATTTTATCTAGTTCAAAACAGATATCCAAGTTTGCAATTTGCTTTGCTCTTGCTGTTTCTTGTGAGTTTCTTTTTTGGAAGAGAGAAGAACATCTGTAAGCCCAGAGATTATCTCTATGTGTTTTCCTTTATTTAATAGAGCCATTCTTGTCTATTAGTAGTTACTTTGCTATTAATATGTATAAAAAGGAATGAAGTGTCTTTTACTTCAGAAATATGAAAATTAATATCTTTTAAACTAGCACTTATGTTATCATAAGACAATACTGGAATCAAAAACAAATCTTATATAAGGTCCTAATGAGGTAGAAACTAGCTTTTATTCTAGTGTTAAACCCGTGAGAAATAGTGGCAAAGAAGTTTCACTCTGTTTCTGCAGTTCTTTGGGACTATTTATAAAGGCCAGTTAGATTTTGTTACTGTGATTTAATTTACAAAGTTCCTGCAGTTAATGGATGCATTCTGGGCTCTGAGAATCTGAATTCCATTCTAATGTGTGATATTCACTGGCTGTAATCAGAAGAAAAGATGGGCTTTCTCTCCTTTACTCTCTCTACATAATTATTAATTTTATTTTAATTAAAGTACTTAAGACATTGTTTTTTCTTCTGTAAAAATGGCTTAGCAATTTGCACATCTGGGTAGGTAATGTAGCTAGTAAACAACTCATAGTAGTAAGTAGCAATTATACTTAACCCACCAAATGACAGACTATGCAATGGAAAAATTTCTAATTATCGTCACATAGCTTAGACAGCAAAGGATTATTTTCTCTAGTAACCTACCACGTGTGTTATAACTGCTTTATAAATGACTTCCTGAGCAATTTCATGTTGGCAGGCAGTGTAGTGTGTCTAGTGTCCCTCTATGAGAAGACTATAATTTAATCAGAAGCAAATAGTAGGCATGGGGAGCAAATTGGAAAGTGAGGTTATTATTTTTTTTTCCCTTAAAGTTGGTGTTACTGTCTTTAGTGGCTTAAGGCTAAAGAAAGTTAATACTTTATCTTTGCCAAATAATTATTTATAAGATTTATTTTTAAAATAAGCCCAATCTCTGACCTGAAAGTTGGGAATCATTGTTTTCTGTGACTGACACTAAAGCTCCTCCTTATCGGAGCTTGTTCTCAATCCGTGATCACAGTCCACAGTGGCAAAGACAGCTCTTTGATTAGGAAGGAAACTGTGGTTGTGATGCACAGAGGTGCCCTGTCCATACAGTTTTCTTCTTACGTGAAAGAACTGACCTTTCTGTTGACCTGTACCATTCTGTTTTTATGAAGTGGGATTAGAATTTGAGCATATCTAGTAAATGCCGTGGTGTCAGTCCGTCCGTGCTTGCCCACCATCTTTCCCATGCCTTGGCATTCTAGGGGTGCTGGTGATGGTTGATGGGCATCATCAGTCAGCAGTGCACATGGGAGGCAATCAATCGTCTTTCCTCCAGGTTAGTTCAGAAGGTCGCTGTGGGTTGGTATTGCAAAAAGATGAGGATTTTAACACTAAACTAAGAGGTTTGAAATTCATTAAAAAATATTTTTGGGTGTCTAGTTTTTAGTTTCTTCATCTTTCTTTTTAGACTTCTTTTAAAATTCTGTTCTTAATCTGGTATATATAGAAATAGAATATAATGGTCTTCTAAATGGTCAACAGAACTCTCTAGTTTAATGAGGCAACTTAGAGGATTCCTTGAAAGAAAATTTAGTCATACTGAACAGTCTTCATTTGTATCTTTTTTATCACCAGTATTTACATTGTTCCAAAGATTTTTTTTTCCTGACAAAAAATATGTTTCTTGGGGGTGGAGATCATATATATATACTTACATATATATATATATATGTGTGTGTTTGTGTGTGTGTGTGTGTGTGTGTGTGTGTGTGTTCTTTCGTATCTAAAGGAACATATCAAAATCTATGTTCTTTCATATATATATGAAAGAACATAGATTCCCCCCCCAATAAATTAAAAATAACTAAATCTTCACTGGCATTCTGTAGAAAAGTTAAACAGTTTAATAATGTCTTAACATCTTTATAAACTTGGTTTCTAGAGGGAACCAAAAGCATGTTTAGTACCTTAAAGTAACATTTTAAATACTACCTTTCCAATAATTTGTAATAAAATACCAGCGAAGGATATATTTGGATATCTGTTAAACATTTTTCCCTAATGTTTTAGGAAAGAAATGAATTAGGAAAGAAAACATAAATGGTTATGTCTCTTCTAATAAACAGTGTCGTTGTGTCATTAATGCTGCAGCTGCGGGTCAAACTTAGGGAGCCTTATTTCTTTTCTTCTCTCTCTCTTTTTTTTTTTTTTTTTTTGAGATGAAATCTTGCTCTGTCACCCAGGCTGGAGTACAATGGCATGATCACAGCTCAGTGCAACCTCCACCTCCCGGGTTCAAGCAATTCTCCTGCCTCAGCCTCCTGAGTAGCTGGGATTACAGGCACCCACCACCGCGCTCAACTGATTTTTGTATTTTTTAGTAGAGACAGAGTTTCACCATCTTGGCCAGGCTGTCTTGAATTCCTGACCTTGTCATCCACCTGCCTCGGCCTCCCAAAGTGCTGGGATTACAGGTGTGAGCCACCACGCCCAGCCAGGAGCCTTATTTCTAAATAGCAAAAATTCTGTTTTCACTTCAGCCCTTATTTTTTTGGTTAGTTTTTCTCTTTCTGCACTGTGATACAGAGCTAATTAAAGGAAATGTGACGTTTCAGAGAGAGAGCCAGCAACTTTGGTATGACATTTTTTTTTACCTTATGTTCCTCAGTACTGGGGATGTTTGGCTACTTTGAACAGCAGAGTTTTTAGTGATCTAAAGTTTAGAATGATAATCTTAAAAGAAAACAGCTATCTGACTCTCAGTGAGCTGTGTAGGGCAGCACAGCTTTCCATCTTCTCTTCCGCCTGCTTGCCTCTGCCCACCACAGTCCTGAAGTATGCACATGTACACATGATCTGTACCGATCGCGGCCGAAGAGTAATAGAATCCTCTTCTTTCACTTGTTTTTTTCCTTTTTTTTTTCTTTGTTCATTTTCATTTGTTTTTTAAGCTGGGGACCACTGAAGTAAGCTCTATATGCACCCAAAGTTCCCCCTCGGAAAAATTTTCAGCATGCAGTACAGAAGGCTCCAATGCAGCTAAATGCCACGCCATTGCTTTTACTTGGGGGAATAGACTTATTTGCCCTGAAATGACTCCAGCCTGCGTCATTAAGGTACAGTTGGCTCCAACGGATTAGTGCTGAAATGATGGGAAGTTTGACACTTGTTGACATTGTCTTCATCTGTTTGGAAGGGTTGAATCTGTTCCTCTCAACAGTGATAGTTCTTTTCACTGTATAGTATTGAGTATGTCTCAGGGATTCCTTGTGGAAATTAGGGCAGTTTTTAAAAATAAGAAAATAGTTTTAAAAGAAACTAAAGGTGACTCATCATTGAAGAGAGCGGAAGAAAGAGGAAACATTTGGTGTTGTAGCCCACAGTGTCTTGCATAGGACTTTTTCCTTTCTCCTCCAGGCTCTCATCTCAGCTTCAGAATACAGAATCCTTTCCCACCACGCACAGCTTTAAAACTTTTATTTAAAAATTTCCTTCCCCAATGAGCTTTCAGAATACTTATTGTAGATTTTAAGAGAAAAGGTATATTAATTTATGCTGTTAACATCACCTCATAAATTATAAGTTTTATACTAAAGCTGTATTGAGTATAATGAATTATGTTGCCTATGTGTTTAATAGCTAAATATATATGAGCTTTTTTTTTTTTTTTTTTTTGACAAACTAGTGAAGCACCTTTTTACACTGGATCTCTGCCGTGTCAAGGTGTATAGCTATCCTTTGCTACCTTGCAGATATATAAAATAAAAGGATATCCTGGGGCCTCAAAATGTAGAACACCTTTAGACGATTTATAACTGTTCCTAGAACTGTTGAGAATCATGTTCTTTAGTAAATGATCTGTGGTTTACACTTAAGATGGCTAGAAGCTTAGTTACAGGGTACATAGAAATACATAGATCAAGTAAAACTCCAACTACTGTAGCTGGAATTTGTAAACTAAGTTTTTAAGACCTTTTATTTCCTATGGATTTATTCTTTAATTTACAGTTATTCTGTAAGTTGGGAAGTAAAATAGAGAAAATAATTAATCTAGATGTTCTCAGCGTCTTATTCAGGAACTTTTTACCCTCCTCACTAAGGAATTCCCACTGTGACTTTAAAATAGAATTAAATTACTCGTGTGCATGTATATGTCTGTATTTTTTACACACATGCAAAAATATACATTGAGGGCACGTGTGTGAGAGATATGAATGTGTGCTTATATAAAAATAGATAAAGGTAACTGAATGTATTGTAGAAACATGATTTATTTAGTTGAGGGTATAGGAGTTACTTTCTCATTGTCTCTGTTGTATAAATACACCAAATTCATCATTATGTTATCTTATGTTCAAAGGCTAGCTCTGATATCATGTGCATTTTATGTTAACCTTTGGATTAACTTACATTATGCTGTGTTCATAAAATGACATGAGAAACAGGAGGTTCTGAGATTAGCCTCTCACTTTTGAGCATAAAAATAAGAGAGGGAGACAGACAGACCCAGACATGAGCTGTGTTTATCTATTGTGGTGATGGGACCAGAGATCTGTTGAACTTTTTTTATGTTAACAATAGATTTCTTCATATTCTGAGTAAACAAATATTGTTGATCATCTTTTCTTGGTGAAGTTAAGAAAAAGTATATGCCTTTCATAAAGAATTTTTGGAAGGGGCTACTTTGTTTAAGGAGTTGGTGGCATCATTTCACTGTGCATATTTCAAAGCTGGGGTGGGGTGATTCCAAAATTTTTCAAAAAACTTGTATTCATTGTGCTGTTAATTTATTAAGAGTGCTCCTTTCCCCATATTTTAGCTATAGGAAAAATTGTACTACCCCTGATTCATATGGATTAAAAATAATACATCCATTATTCTGAATTTTAAGTTGTCATTTTGCTATACATTCATTACTGGAGTATCTGGTGGTCTGAAATAGTCAAAATTAGAGTTATTATTAAATGCTCCAATTAAATTTATTTTTAATACTTAAAATATCATGTACTTTGAAATATGTCAAAACAACTTCTGATAATATACCTGAATTTGTAGTTGTCTCATGCGTCATTTACTTCATCTTAGATATAGTGAAGACCTAGGAAAGCTCTATATGCTGTTCTTTTCTACAGTTGTATTTTTGCAGCATCTCCCAGTTTCATTCACTCTTGTTTTGGGATTTTTTTTAATCTGCATATTTCTTGTACATATGCATGCAAATGAAAGAAGGGAGTTTGTACTGGTGCCATTTCTCCCTTCAGTTGCTGGTTAATGGGATTTGCTAGAATAAATTCTCCTGATTGAAGGGTGAAAACAGACCCTTATGTGTATATCTGTACAGAGATGTGTATATGGGATGTGGTGGCACTTTGCTGAATGTGAACTTGCCTTGTCAATGGAAAGATTGAAAAGTATTATGTTTATTTATACATTTGTATAAATCTATATATACACGTATGTATATGTGTGTGTATAGATAAAGCTATATACATATATTTCCCTTAAAAATGTGTGTGTATAATAGGCAAACAGCCTTTGTTAAGCAAGATTGACGTCTATGGAAAGTTCTGGATTATTCTGTAAGCCAGAGGAGGTGACAGTCTAGAGTACATCATCAGAACATACTAAAATGGAAATCCTTTGGATTATAGTCTTGTTTATGGATATTACACAATGAATGCCTGTCTGAACAATTCTTACTTGCCAGTTCCACTCTTCTTCATCTTTACCACCTTCTACTAGTCAGTCTCTCATCACTTTAAAAAGAAAAGTCACACATCATTGTGTTTTCCCCCCTTAGTTCTGTCTTTTCTAGCCAGAAGCATTTGGCGTAAGTGTATTTCATCAACTTCTCTGTTATTTCTTTTAAAGATCTTTATCTCTGAAATTTTCCTAGAAGATACAAGTTTTGGTAATATTATCAATAGTAATTTGGAGAATTGGGCATTCATCTTTGTCTCAAAAACAAACAGAAAGCCAACCTTCAAATAAAATGAATTTGAAAGTTTTATCTCAGTAATTTGGGGACATTTTACTTAAAAAAGAACATAATTATGATTTATGATTGATATTAGTGTTAGATTTATTTCCACACCTACTGCCATTAATTTGTCATTTACATATTTTTATTTGTAGTTTAATCATAACTTCACCATTTACATTTTAATGGAAAGCATCCAAGATCATGTGTAAGCCTCTTGAATTCTGTAACTAACTCATTTTTCTCATGATGAAACTGCTTTGATGAATTTCTGTGTGTTGAATTCTGCTATATCTCCTTTTGACTTTTCTCAGTTTGTGACATTCTGTATTAACTTTGCTGCAGCTCTCTAGAAAACTTGCATCCCTATATATTGTGCCTTTAAAGCTCTTATGCACACACAGACAAAAGTGTATATATACATGTCAGAGCATGTGTACATATGCTTTCGTATGTACTCACACAGTATGTCTCTGGTATATATTGTGGGAGTAGATATATAGATATTCAAAGGCAATGAAATATTGCTCTCTAGATATATATGTATATAAATAGTGTTGATATAACTGTATATACACATGTATATGTATGAGTTTTAAATGGCAATCTTTTACATTTAGCAAAATGCTGCCCCTACTGGAATATTGTCACTGCAGTGGCAGTTGTATGTAATGATTTAAAATACATTATCAAAAGTTATTTAAAGAACATTTAAAAGTCTCATCTAAAGACATCACACACTATTTATTTATCTTCCTTTTTCTTTTATTGTTGTATGTTTTTTTTAACTGAAAGGGAGACTGTCATTTATAAAATACCATCTGTCCCATGAGAGTAAGAAAGAGCTGGAGGTTCACTTGAGGAGCTTTGTCATTTTTCCTCTCTCTGAAGTGGAGATGTACCACAGACCAGACTGTTTATTTCACATATAAAGCGATCCTAATATTTCCATTCATGTATGTCATCGTCATCCGCCGTCTCCTAGATCAACTTAATTCACCAATACGCCTCCTCCTTTCATTAATAAGTAATGCTTATTGAGATCATTTTACCTGAGGGAAGTTAACTACTCTCATGCTGCAGGGAAATATATAACCTAACTCTTATTTCGCCTTGTTCAAAATTCAAATCTGAAAGAAGGCAGCTCTCTCATGAAGCTGTCTTACGCACGTTTTAGTTAAGGGCCTTCCCAAACTTTTTTTTTTTTTTTTTTTTTTTGAGAGTTCCAAGTTGCATGTGCTTGAAATAGATTTAATTCTTATCTCCCACTATTTCAGGTATTTTTCATTAGTACATCAGTTTGACACATTGAATGCAAGACTATTAAGGAAGAACTCTTGAATATTATTTTATTTTGTGAAGAGTTGGCAGCAGATTACATCTCAAGAACTTGCAGAGAGAGGAAGGTAGATAGACAATCCTAAATTGTAAGATGTTAGAAAAAACAGTGAAGTAAGAATACTCCTGAAGACTAAAATAGAGAGGTTGGGATTTGAGTGGTTTTACTCAGTAGCTTAGCTGGAGCCTGATATCAGAAGTAGCCTTTAACAAAAAGCCTGTTGGCAATTGTATGGTACTAACAACTAGAGTACTGAAGTGTAAGTCGAAACCAAGTTGCAGTGGGAAATCAAAGGTGAGGTAGCTTATTTGAAACCGGTAAATGAGACAGGTTGGACAGTTTTAAAATCTCTTCTGACAAAGAAACTGCACGGTAGCAAGGACTAGCAGTTCTCAAAGCCCTTTTTCAGTGTTCTCATTCACCTGGGCACACAAGTATGTTTAACAGGCCATGCACTAAAAAATAATTACAAAAACATAAAAGCTGCTTAAAGGGAACTTACAAACTGAGAATCTCTCCTCTGTGTTTGTATTCATAGTGGCTGTGAATTTAATTATGTGCACAAAAGCCAGGAGCCACTTGTCTGCACAGACTGTAGCAGCAAGATGAGGAGATGGGCAGGTTTTGATAAGAGCCCCCAGTTCTGATGGAAAGGCATATCTGTGGTATTGGGTACAGCACTGCTGGGGGAGACCATGTTTTGGGAAGTGATTGGCTTTTGGTTTGTGATTTCCCTTTAAACAAGAAGAGATGGTTCACATTTTCCATATATATCTCAATGAATGTACTGTATTACTGTTTTAAAAATTTGATGAAATAATAATGAATTGGTCTCCTTTTGTTATCTGGTCCTTGTTTAATTTGTTTAAGGGTTTTTGTATACAAAAGTTTACATTTTTATGTATATTTTTCTTGTGTAAAAACTGATGTAATATGTGTATGAAACACTGTATGTATTATCTGTATATAGTGTGACAAAATCATTTTTCTTTCTTTCTTTTGGATGTATTAATAAATCTTGCTGTGAAGTAGCCTTGTTTTTAGTATAATTTTCTTTGCTGGGATATTGATGGAAGCTGCTAATCCAGGGTAAGTATTTTCCAACTTTATTTGAATATAGTTTTTTAAAAATATATTGTGTTTTACCAATAGTTCTAGGCAGATATATTCATGATCTTTATGGTTGAACTAACAATAATTAATATTTGTAATAGCTGTGGATCAATCAAATTCTATCAAAGTGATTTTTGATATGGTATCCAGCCTTGAAGTCCAACCAGAAGTTGCATTTGAAATTGTTATTTGCTATAAAGGAAATCTTACAAGCCAGTTTCTATTTCTTTAAATCAGAAATAGATTTCTCTTTTCATTTTCATAGCTTCACAAAACAACAACTTCATGTTTTATAACCAAAATTTAAAAACAATACAAAACTTGAAGAAACTTTTTTTGTTTGTTTTGAGACAGAGTCTTGCTCAGTTGCCCAGGCTAGAGTGCATTTGGTGTGATCTTGGCTCACTGCAACCTCCTCCTCCTGGGTTCAAGCAATTCTCCTGTGTTAGCCTCCCGAGTAGCTGGGACTACAGGTGTGGGCCACCATGCCCTGCTAATTTTTTTGTATTTTTTAGTAGAGATGCGGTGTTGCCATGTTGACCAGGCTGGTCTTGAGCTCCTGACTTCGTCATCCTCCCAAAGTGCTGGGATTACAGGCGTGAGCCACGGTGTCTAGCCTAAGAGTAATTCTTTAAAAAGCCTGTGTTGTCTGGGCATGGTTCACTCCTGTAATCCCAGCGCCTTTGGGAGGCTGAGGCAGGAGAATTGCTTGAGCACAGGAATTCAAGACCACCCTGGGTAAGAAAGTGAAACCTGTCTCTATTTATTTATTTTTTAAAAAGCCTGTATTTAAAAAAAAAAAAGAACAACTTTATTTGCATTAATTTATAATGCAATATGTGGGTCTAAACATTAAGGTGATTTTCTTAGCCTGTTTTCTGCTGTTATAACAATAGCAGAGACTGAGTAATTTATAAAGAACCAAAATTTATTTCTGACAGTTACAGAGGCTAGGAAGTCCAAGATCAAGGCATCAGCATCTGGCGAGGGCTGTTCCTGAGGATGTCTTGGATGTTGTGTCCTCCATACGGGAGTAATACTGTGTTCTCACACGGCAGAGGACAGAAGGGCAAAGAGGGACAAACTTCCTCATCAAACCCTTTTACAGTGGCATTAATCTGTTCATCAGGGCACAGCCCTCATGATCTAAACATCTCCCAAAAGGCCCCACTGCTCAACACTTCCATTGGGGATTAAGTTTCCAGCACATGAATTTGAGACACATCCAGACCATACCAGTGATGTTATTTTGTTTCACAGAAAAGTCTTCTTGGAAATGTCATCTTTAACATGTTGTGACTATGGTCAGTTATTTCCTACTGCAAATCCCTGTGATGGAAAGATGATGCTCATCACTTGGCACCCTGAAATTTCAGTCAGCCTCATGGTAGTATGCTATTGCTGTTTCTAGTCGCTCATCTTTCCAGTTTTTGGTCTTTCTGACCTTCCATTTGTTTTTATACACTTAGTTATAATTTTGGGCATTTTGTGTTAGGGACAGTGAGACACATGAAAATGTATCACAACTGGATTATACACGTGAAGGATTTTGCCGTCTATTAGCGGAGTGTTGTATAACCGTCTGTGCAAACAAGTAAGATGCAGTCAGCTGCCTAGTAGAATGGTAAAGTGCTGTGTAAGCTCAAGTCAGGAAGATCGTTTCCAACCAGAGGATAGAACAAATTTTCTAGAGGAGAGTGATCCACCCTCCTCAGCCTCCAAAGTGCTGGGATTACAGGTGTGAGCCACTGTGCCCGGCAGGATAGAGCAAATTTTCTAGAGGATAGTGATCCTTGAACTCTTGATGTCAAGTGATTCAGCCTCCAAAGTGCTGGGATTACAGGCATGAGCCATTGTGCCCGGCCCTGGGTAGAGTGATCTGAACAGAGCCTCCGTAGAGGGGCAGTGTTTGGACATTCAGAAGTGGAGGTGTTGCAGGTGGAGAGAGCCGCATGAGCAGTTGGGATGCCTCAGTATTTGTGTAAGGACAGTGAGCAGTTGAGCTTGTCTGGAATCTAATGTGAGGGAGAAGTGGTGAGGAGCAGAGAAGCTAATGGGTGACTGAGCATAAGGAGCATGGAAGGCTGGAATGGGAGTGATGATCAGCGGGGACTCAGGAAATCTGATCTTTCCTCACGATCAAGGTAAGATTGCAGTGAGATGATTTGAGGGGAGGGGACTACTGCAATAGTCAGGCTAGATAATGAAGGTGCACCTACTTGTGGAAGTAAAACGTGAAGGAAGGAGGAAATCAAAATGACTTGGAAACAGAGTGATAAAGATGTAAGGGGCAGGGGAGAAAGAGCCAAATATGCTTCCTCCCTGGGTTTCTGGAAGAGTGGTGGTGCCAGTGATGGAAGTGGGCAGCATGGCTGTGAACACGCTACAATTTGGAGAGTTGGAGAGAGCCAGTGGGTTCTGGGTATACATAGTTTGAACTGGGAGCTGGGGCCAGGGGAGATGGCGGCTCCCCTTCCGCTAGCACTCAGAGGAGAGGCCCAAGCCGAAGAGGATACAGATGGGGAGGCTGTGGGCGTAGAATTGAATGTTGAAGCCAGCTGTAAACAAGGAAGAAAGCTAAGAACATATTTGGGAATGGCTCTGTTATCTATTATTTATTTTTATTTGATTTGATTTGATTTTATTTATAGGCCCATAAGGAGCCTTAAATGATGTTTCCCGAGTCTCCCAGCTAGCAAATTATGGAACTGGTGTTCCAGTGCCATCAGGCTGGCTCCCCGCCAATGCTCTGAGGGGAAAAGTCAGCCCCTTCCCTAGTCCTGGCATTGTGAGGACCCGAGCCTGTGCACTTGCCTCCCTCTCACACCCATTGTAATGACTTCTTGTTTGTGTCCCCTTCTAGGAGGTTTGTTCCAGTGTCTACTTTGTTAATTACAAAATGCTCAGTCCCTAGCACTGCCTGCTTTCCAGAATCAACACAAAGTATCACTGAATGAAGTTAGTACTCTGAAGAGACTGAGGGGATCTAGTCTGAGGCAGTATAGCAAATGGTTAAGGCTGTGGCCTTGGGAACCAGGCTTCCTAGGTTCTCATCTTGACTCCAAGCTGTGTGATTTCAGCAGCTCATTTATTCTCTCTCTTCTTCCATTTCCTCATCTGTAAAATGCATTTTGTGTTGAGAGAATTACATAACAGAACCTATGTAAAGCACTTAGAATAGACCTTGGCATATACTAAGTACTTGGTAAATTTTAGTTATGCTTATTTTATGACTAGAAAGAAAGACTGAAGATAAACAACACAGGCTAATTCCAGAAGGAAATGTCCAGGGAAAATGAACAAGGGAACAGATGTTAGCTGTGAAAGAGGAAGATGGAGAGAGGCTGAGAGCTTGGGAAGAAATTTCTGATCATAGGGGAAGTCTGCTGCTGACTTTTTTAAATAGAAGAGGATATAGGTAACCAGCAAATGTGGTTGTTCTTGACCAAGTTTCCAAAGATTCTAGGATGCATTCAATTATGGGAATCCTGTTAGTTGAAAATATAAATTTGCCTTTGCTTTATAGCTTTAAAAAATTCTCCTACATTTTATCTTACATGCTACAAAGCATCATTTAATGAAAGAAAATAGATATCTTTAAGTCAGTATCCTGACTTAAAGAAGATACTTTGGGTTAGAAACTACTTAAGAAGGCCGGGCGTGGTGGCTCAAACCTGTAATCCCTCGGCACTTTGGGAGGCCGAGGCGGGTGGATCACGAGGTCAAGAGATTGAGACCATCCTGGTCAACAAGGTGAAACCCCGTCTCTACTAAAAATACAGAAATTAGCTGGGCATGGTGGTGCGCGCCTGTAGTCCCAGCTACTCGGAAGGCTGAGGGAGGGGAGAATTGCTTGAACCCAGAAGGCTGAGGCTGCGGTGAGCCGAGATCGTGCCATTGCACTCCAGTCTGGGTAACAACAGCAAAAACTCCTACTCAAAAAAAAAAAAAAAAAAAAAGAAACTACTTAAGAAAATAAAATATAGGCCAGGCGCAGTGGCTCATACCTGTAATCCCAGCACTTTGGGAGGCTGAGGCAGGTGGATCACCTGAGGTCAGGAGTTTAAGACCAGTCTGACTAACATAATGAAACCCCATCTCTACTACATACAAAAAGTTAGCTAAACATGGTGGCACATGCCTGTAATCCCAGCTACTTGAGAGGCTGAGGCTGGAGAATCGCTTGAACCCGGGAGGTGGAGGTTGCTGAGATTGTGCCATTGCACTCCAGCCTGGGCAACTCCATCTCAAGAAAGAAAAAAAATGAATGAATGAAAATGCAGAGCTGAGTGTAGTAGTGCACACCTGTAGCTGCAGATACTCAGAGGCAGAAGCAGAAGCACACTTGGAGTCCAGAAGTTTGAGACCAACATGGGCAACATAGCAAGACCCCATGTCTAAAAGAAAAGAAAAAATAAAATATGACTATAATATAAAGAATTAATAGATGGTCCATTATCAAAAGATGTGCATGTCCCGCTGTAGCCCCAGCTACTTGGAGGCTGAGGCAAGAGAATTGCTTGAACCTAGGAGGCAGAGGTTGCAGTGAGCCAAAATTGCACAACTGCACTCCAGCCTGAGTGACACAGTGAGACTCTGTCTCAAATAAATAAATAAAAGTAAAAAGATAAACTATTTTTCTTTTCTTTCTTTTTTTTTTTTTTTTTTTGAGACAAAGTTTTGCTGTTGTTACCCAGACTGGAGTGCAATGGCACGATCTCAGCTCACTGCAACTTCCGCCTTCTGGGTTCAAGCAATTCTCCTGCCTCAGCCTCCCGAGTAGCTGGGACTACAGGCGTGCACCACCATGCCCAGCTAATTTTTGTATTTTTAGTAGAGACGGGGTTTCACTTTGTTGACCAGGATGGTCTTGATCTCTTAACCTCGTGATCCACCCGCCTCGGCCTCCCAAAGTGCT